ATGGGGTCATCACAAAAATCATTTTCCTTTCAGTGTAAACTGCCATGGTTATTATTTAATGATGGTAATTGAAGAACTGGTCCCCCTCAGTACAGGCAGAAGCCCATCTGTTAACTGTGAATCATTCAAATAATGTGGAAGGCTTCAGCTGTTCTGCAGCTCCCATTGCCCATGCCCTGCACACCCTCACTCAGCTTCGTGGTCTGGCTGKGAGCATTTGGGCACAATCCAGGGATTTTTGTCCCTGGACAGTCCAGAGATTGTCTGTCCATATTTTAAAGTTTCTGGAAGTTTAGCCCCATGGGTCCCCTGGCAGTGGTGAGTTGGTGAATGCCTGAGTCTGTGAGCAGTGAGCTCAGGCCAAAATGCCATTGTGCACAACAGGGAGCACGGGGATGGCTCAGCTCAGGAATTACTGACCAGTGCTGTGCTCAGCAGCACCTCAGGGGGTGCCTGTGGCTGCAGCAGGAGCAGAGGGACAGGTTTAACATTTGGGACTGCATTTGGGACCTTCCTCACAYCATCTGTGCTGTGAAAGCAGGGAATCACACTTGGACATTAACCCTACAAACTGCTGGGAGGAGCCCACAGGAGTCCAAGGGCTCTGTGCACACAGCTCTGGGTGGGCTCGAGGGGCTTTGTCCAGGGCCTCCAGAGTGACCATGGACCAGGATCAAGAACACTGACGGGAATCCTGAGCTGACAGTGGGGAGTCAGGTGGGAACACAAAATACCTTGTCAGGCTCCATCAGGAATGTCCAGAGGAAAGCAGACAGTACAAAAAACTGAAATTTCACCCATTTACACATCTCAGGTGCTGTTTTTGATCCTGAGGCCTRTGTCAAACATCCCCTGGGGTGTTACCCTGCCATACAGACGGGAAGGAGAAAATTCCACGAGTGACCCAATTCCCTACGAACACTGCACTGTCCCGATGGATTGATTTCCACCAGCCTCATCTCCTGGAGGTCAGGCTGCTTTCCTGTGGCCACAGCAAGTCCAGGGGTTGTGTTTCTTGTGTCACCATGCCCTGGAGAGCTCTGGACAAGCTGCCCTGGCAGGGTGAGAAACAAGCAYGTTTTCAGTGCCTGAAGCACAGGGGCTCCCTGCCTTCTCTCAGGTTGTATCTTAGCAACTGGCCAGCCAAAAACAAAGGATCAGCACATCTCAAMGTTTCTCCAGACTTCCATGAAGCTCTTGGGTCTAGAATTTGTGCTGAGCTCCTTAAAATAGGCACCACTGCCAGAATTATCCTACTTCCTGGGAAATAATGGTAAAATTCCAGACTATGGGCTGGAGAATACAAGGACCTGTTTAAAGTTCAACCCCTGCCTCATTTTGCAATGCATTTTTGCCAGGGTCCATGCTTTGTTCCTTGCTTAGGCCCCAACCAAATGTCCTGAGTTCTCTCTGTCTCATTTCTTTTTCACAAAAAGGGAAAAGGTTTTCCTTCCTTTCACAAAAAGGGAAAAAGCTTCCTGGGGGGAGCTTGCTGGAGGGTGGCTGACATGAACTTGTGGTTTGGATCCTGGTGGAATCTGCTTCCCAGACTGYCCACAGGACCCTTTCACTGCCAGCTGGCCCTACCTGAGCACTGCCAGTCCCTTCTGTGAGCACTGCTAATGCCATTTTGGGGACATGCAATGCCTTCTCCACAAGTTCACTCACAAAAATGAAGCTCAGGGCTGTTGCAGACAGAATTCTGTGCAGAACAATGCAGCCCTTCACTGACAACTGGAAATCAAATTAGAAATGTTCCTAAAAATTAGCAGCAACATCAGACGACACTGAATCTCTTCAGTCATCTGTGGGAAAGGAGTTTCTATAAATAAACTGCAGCATGGTGATGATGAAGTTCAAAACAAAGCCAAATTGTCAAAACAGCCCCAGAGCCTTGCAAAGCAACAGAACTCCTTCAGTCCAAAGACACGAGTGTTTTCAGAGATGCTGTGCTGGACAAAAGGAGATTGTGTGGGATGCAGAGGAAGGCWCTGGGTGCTGCTGGAGCAGGGGACACGTGACTGCTGCATTTGCGTAGCACTTTGAGGGGGGACACTGATCATTAGTCCCTTTTCATGAAAAAGAAATGAGACAGAGAGAAGTCAGGATATTTGGCTGGGGCCTAAGCAAGGAACAAGCCTGAGGCAACTGTCTCTGCTTTCAAGGCTGCCATCCCCTGCACTGTGGTGTGTGCCCCTCCAGGCTGGACCCAYCTCATACAAACCTGAGAAATATTTYAWATTCCATCCATTGGAGATTCCTGATTCCAAAAATCTACCAAAACACGTCTTTTTCCTGTGTTCTACAAGCCTATATCTGGTACACTATCTGCCACTCAGTCCTGTGGCTCTAAAGACAAAACATATTARAACAAAAACACATTTACAGCAGATCCCAGCCTGCCAAGGCAAACAGCTACCCCTGCTCCAGCAGCTCTTCCACAGTGAATTCCTCTCTCGTTCCAAGCATTTGCACAGTTCCAGGTGGAAAGTGGGAGCCATCCTGGTGTTTGGAAGAACAAATCCCCAAACCCCCTGAGGCAGTTCCCATCTGCTCTGTGGATGGCCAGGGCAGGGGTGGGGAAGGCAGGACTGGTAAAGGACAGGTCTGTTCCTAATGTCCATCTGGGAATGTCTAATGCCAGCTGGGCACCTTGGGCACAGCTCCTTCTCCATTCACTGCAGCTGCACTGCAAGGAGTTTTTAAAGACCCAAATATGGATTTACCATGTCCATAGGATTCATGAGKGAGAGTAACAGGAGTCCCTGCAGGAACACAGATTACACTCACTAACAATCATTCAGAGATCTTGCTTGCTTCTTAAATCCAAATTTTACTCTAAGACGGGGATCATTATGAGAAAAATGTGTAAAATGAGACCTGATACAAAGCTTGAGACACAGGTCAAACAGTGCAAAGTCCAACAAGCTCCCTGGGCTTTTGCCCCCAAATTCTTGACAGCTGTTAAAAAAAAGAAATTACATTCACTGAGGTCATATCTCTGAGTATCTCCACGGGAATTTGTACACCTTCATTTCATGTAGCACCAATTTGTCACTGATTGTCCCAAAAATTTACATCTCAACAATTCAGGAATTCAGCAATCATTCAAGTCAAGTATTCATCAGCCTCAGCTGGTATAAACTGTGGCAGTATTTAAAATTCATCTGTCATTATTATACCCTGCTACAAAGCAAACAAGAAACCCAAGTGCACCCACCCAGCAAGCAGCAGCTTGGTGCTACAAAAGGCAGAGATAATTTACTGCAAAATCAACAAAGGGGGGAAAAAGCTGAGCAGAGAGAAGCTGGATGGCATGGACAGGGAGAGAGAGCCTTTCATTGCAGCCCTGCTCATTAGCATCAAATAGCAAGCAAGGATGAAGGATTCCAACTTGTCTGGCTCTTCTGGGTCTCAGAAATTCAACCAGCAACACAATTCCTGCTTAAACAGAGCCCACATTTGTTTCTTCTTCAATACAAGGAYGTGTGCTGAAGGTTTGGAGGTGTTGTCAAGTAGTTTGTTGGTAAAGCAGCAATTGTGGCAATTCCAGGGGGAAAATACACATTTTCCTTCTGCTTTATCAGTGTGCTTTCATTGCTGTGTGCCTAGCAGGGAGTGGTGGCATAGACTGCAATGTTGGGGACAGCACTTGATATTATAACAAGAGAAATATGAAATAAAATCAGCAATCAAAGCTGTCTTTTATGTCTTGGTTTACAGAGAGTTCATCCCACCACAGAAGTATGGAGGAATTGGGTTTTTTCAGGGGCTATGTTTTATTTATCTAAAGAGTTCTGCATTGTAATAATACACTGGGCTTGTGAACTCCAGAGACTGAAAAGCCCTTGGAGAGATGGATTTCTAATGCAGCTCTGCACCCCAGGAGGATGAAAGAGCTGTGCAGCTCTGGGTTTCATTACCCTTTGGCCCTCCGCTCAAGCTGTGGCCACAGGGAACCAGAGAGGCAAAGCTATTCTAGGAGCCAGTCTGGAGATTAAATGTCTCTATTTTGTCACACAGAAAGTTGCACAGAGAGAATGAACTCATCTTTCCCAAACCCCTGTGTGGGACCCACTTTCAGAGGGGAAAGCTTGTTTTCAGTGCCCCAAACACAGGGCAGGAAAGGCAATCTGAGAACTTCCACCAGCCCRGAGGTCCCTGTGGGGCTGTGTCAGGTTCACCCCATGAAGGTGGCTCCAGCCCTTTCAGGGGCACATGAAATGCAGTGCTCAGAGCTGCAAACTGCAGCCGCTTCATCTCATGTGCTGGTCCCCTCCTCTGCTGGGGACACCTCGGGAGCAGCTACAACGCATCCCAAACTGACCTCTGTCACAAAATACCCTCACTCTGTCAGCCTGGGAGAGGGATGAAATGCAGATCAAAAGGTGTGGCAATCAGAGGGATCCACATGGTTTGGGTTCTCACCCAACCTTGGCTCCTCCTGCCTCCTTTCTGTGGCAGCTTGTCTGTGGATTTGTGCCTCACACATTCATAAATTGGAAAATCATTTTTGCCCACAACACAGCGAAGTTGGGGTTATGATTATTGATGCTGTTTCAAACTCCTCAGGGGAGACAGAACCTACAAACCCAACACAGCCCTTCCCAAACCCCCAAACAGCAGGCACAGGGACAGGGAGCACCAAAAGCCCCGATGCCAAAGAGCAATGCCTGGGGATTATCCTGAGGGTCTCAGCTGAAAACTG